TGTAGTGATTAGTAAATTAAACTAAAAAATACTATAGTGATTAGTAAATCAGACTAAACAATACTGTAGTGATTAGTAAATTAAACTAAAAAATACTATAGTGATTAGTAAATCAGACTAAACAATACTGTAGTGATTAGTAAATTAAACTAAAAAATACTATAGTGATTAGTAAATCAGACTAAACAATACTGTTGTGATTAGTAAATCAGACTAAACAATACTGTAGTGATTAGTAAATCAGACTAAACAATACTGTAGTGATTAGTAAATCAGACTAAACAATACTGTTGTGATTAGTAAATTAGACTAAACAATACTGTAGTGATTAGTAAATCAGACTAAACAATACTGTAGTGATTAGTAAATTAGACTAAACAATACTGTAGCGATTAGTAAATCAGACTAAACAACTTAGTCAGTTAAATCTACAGAACAAAGTCCACAGTTGAGTAATATCTAATATCAATTTCATTTTAAAAACGATTCACTTTTCAAGAAATAATAGTTTAAGAATATATATATTTACTGGAAATAAAGCGAGTCACAAAAATACTTACAATACTTTCAGAAAACTGAGTGAGGCAAATGTGTTCTTCCCGATGGTAGTGATGTGGTTATCTTCAAGAAAACTGAAGAATGAATGATTCATGAATTAAATACACGAGTCAAAAGGTGTAGAATACTTTAGTAAGTTTAATGTGATATTCAAATACAGTTAAACTTACGGAAAGTCTAGACAATTTGCTAAATAAGTTAATTTTCAAAAATCTGAAACTGTTTTTTATCGATTTTCTGAGCATTCGAAAGGTTAGCAAACATAACTGCTATAAATAAGGTAAACCGTGTTGGTACTACTTACAGCCAGTTTAACTGAAGATTTTCCGGCCATGGCACGTCATCTAGGGTTAGCTGATTATGTGATAAATCCCTAGATATAACAAAATATACACATAATGTAAAATCCCTATGTGTAAGTTTCAACAGTAGCTTACGTACATCACAAACACTTATGTATATAAAATAGGTTTACAGGGGATTGTTCTACTTGTACTAAATCAATTACGATAACAATCATTCTTACATGTGGATTTCTCGAAATGTACTTCTCTACAATACTTGAAGTAAATTAATTTTTTCACAAACGATAATTCATTAATAACCTTGAATTTCATTAAAGCTCCCGGGATACGTATATAGTGATCCTTGCCAAAGTAGGGATACGTATATAGTGATCCTTGCCAAAGTAGGGATACGAATATAGTGATCCCTGCCAAAGTAGGGATACGTATATAGTGATCCTTACTTGACCTTATAAAATTTGAAACATTTTTCATTATACTTATATAAATACATTTTGTGCTACCAATTCCAAATTTGGCGACCAAGGGAAAAAAAGTGTTGATGTTGCTCTTTGTTTTTCGATCAATACTTCAGTGCCATAGCCACTAGTCACACATCAAAACAGATGTTAGAGGTGTTCAGGGAGAATTTAGTAAAATATACCACAGTATTTCACAGTAGTGGCCCAAACTCGTCTTCTATATCGTTCTGGAGATGAAATACTATGTATCTACAGTGGCTCTTAACTCGTTCAAACCATTACGCCCCCTCTTTTAGGCAGGATTAGAGTAAATAAATCTATGAGACCTATTTTTCCTTTTTATTATCTATATTTTTGTGCGCAAGCAATACCAAGCGTAGGGCGCGTGTATACCCGATTCGATTTTATTAATTAGTATTTTATTTTATTTTCTTAGTACTTAATAGTAGGGATCGTGATCAAACAAGATGGTGACCATAAAAATCGCTCGTTAAAAACCAGTTTTTAAAATGTCTGAATACTAACAATGACTATTTCACAGTATTGACTGAAAAAAACTAAAGCTTATTGTACTTATAAAGCCGCCTAAACCGCGATATACGTGTTTGTGGAGTGAATCAAAATTTCATCATTACAACGAATTTTCATCTAAGTAAATAAGTAAGTGACTTTTCCAGACAAGCGTACAGAAAATATGACGAACCTTATCGCTCTAATTCTTTCACGGAACTCTTTCGTCTGTGGTCCAAATCAATCCTTTCTTGTACCGAAATGGATACTAGTATATATAATGAAATAAATTGCTCCGATACTATTAATTACATCTTTACTGTAGAAACTATAAGAACTCTTAAGGGTAACTGTCTTCCCACAACTGGCTGCAGAGAGTGAAGGGCAGTAAAAGCTGAGACGTTGTGGGTGTAAGCACTCAACTCCTTACCCATAATTGATTTGCCATGCTTGCTGGCTAGTTTAACATCAGAGTTTGGATTTTGTCTGATAGATGGGATATTCCCAACGCATTTGAGAGCTATTACTACAAGCATTATCCGTTATAACTTTAAGGTGACAAATATGACTAACAATGGGAATTCTACCGCAATCTCTTTAATGCTTATTATATATATATATATAAAACAGACGACGCCATCACAGGGTAGAGTAATTTGAGTAATAAAATCACTGGATATTGCGGGCGCACGTGGCTAATAAAAAGGAAACATACAAGTATAATAAAAAAAATTATAAAGACAAGTAGGGATCGATATATACGTCATCTAACTAGTTATAGTAATATAGAAAATTTTAATGCTACAAAAAACATTGAAACAAGAAAGTCAAAACTAAAAAACTAAGTCACTTGAAGCTTTAAAAAGATATCCCTACTTTGGCTCAGACTAGGATGATTACAGTGATTTGCCAAAATAATTAATGTTGTCATATTGTTTATCAAACTTGTCCTGAAACATTAGTAAAATATTTTCTCAGTTCCATATTTACAGGGCCCGGCATGGCCAGGTCGTTAGGGGGCGCTCGGTTCGCAACCTGAG